AAATGCTGAAAGTTCAAGAACAAAGAGAAAAGGCGTGACAAGAGTGTAGATAAGAAGCAAGAAGACACAATGGTGGTTACTACCGATGATCTCATAGTCGTTTGTGAAGATGATTGTATCAATTTTGTGGGCCAAGAGACCAATTGGGTGATTGATTATGGTGCTTCTTTTCATATAACTTCTCGAGTTAATTTCTTCACTACCTACACCAAAGGAGATTATGGTTGTGTTCGAATGGGTAATGAAGGTTTGTCTAAGATTATTGGCATGGGTGATGTTTGCTTGAAAACAAATTTGGGTTGTAAGTTGTTGCTTAAAGATGTGAGGCATGTTCTCAATATTCGCCTTAATTTGATCTCTACTAGGAAGCTAGATGATGAAGGCTACAATAACAAATTTGATGATAGAATATGGAAGCTCACAAAGGGTTCTTTAGTAGTGGCTAAGTGTAAGAAGACTCATATACTTTATTTGATGCAAGAAAAAATTTGTAAACATGTTGTCAATACACTTGAAGATGATACTTCTACCGAATTGTGGCACAAGCGGCTTGGGCACATGAGTGAAAAGGTGCTGCAAGTTTTGTTCAATAAAGAGCTTCTACTCGGTTTGAAAGGTACATATCTTAAAACTTGTGTTTATTGTTTGGCGGGTAAACAACATAATGTTTCTTTTCATAAAAATGTTGCTTCTAGAAAAGAAAATATTTTGGAGTTAATTCATTCCAATGTTTGTGGTCCTTTAAAAGTAGAACACATAGTGGTGCACTTTATTTTGTTACTTTCATTGATGATTATTCAAGGAAAGTTTAGGCTTTTATACTAAAAACTAAAGATCAAGTTCTAGATGTATTTAAACTTTTTCAGGCCATGGTTGAAAGGAGACAGGGCATAAATTGAAGTGCATTCGAACAGATAATGGTGGTGAATACAATGGGCCATTTGATGAGTATTGTTGCAGCTAAGGTATTCAACACCAAAAGGTAGTTAAGAAGACTCCTTAACAAAATGGCGTTGCTGAGAAGATGAACTGCACCATTGTGGAAAGAACAAGGTGTCTCCTTTTACATGGTAAATTGCCAAGATCCTTTTGCGGTGAGGCAATGAGGACAGCAATTGACGTGATTAATTTGTCTCATTCTTATCCTTTGAATGGTGATGTTCTTGAAAGAGTTTGGACTGGCAAAGATGTGTCTTATGAGCACATGAGAGTATTTAGTTGTCGGGCTTTTGTTCACATTCCAAAGGATGAGAGGTCCAAGCTTGATAGTAAGTCAAGACAATGTATTTTTCTTGGCTATGGGCGTGATAAATTCAGGTATAGATTGTGGGATCCGATCGACAAGAAAGTCATTCAAAGTCATGATGTTATGTTTTTTGAAGACCAAACAATTGAAGACTTTGGCAAAGGTGATCAACCGGAGCCAAAAACTAGTGATCTCATTGACATGAATCCATCTCCTTCATCTTCAGTTGATGTTGAAAATAGGGGAGATGTGCAGCCACCTATTGAAGATCTGGAGGATGAAGCTAATCCTAATGAAGTTTAGCTAGAAATTGAAAAAGAGCATCCAACGCAAGAACCGCCACCACAACTTCAGTTGAGGAAACCTACAAGGGACCGACAACCTTCAAGAAAGTATCCTCCCAATGAATTTTTGTTGATTTCCGATCAAGGGGAGCCTGAGAGCTACCAAGATGCAATTGAGCATATAAAGAAAGATGATTGGAAAAAAGTCATGGAAGAGGAGCTGAATTCCTTACTTGAAAATCATACTTATGATTTAGTGAAGTTGCCTAAAGGGAGTAAAATTCTGAAAAATAAGTAGGTCTTCAAATTGAAAAATGATGGCAAGAATCTGAGGTACAAGGCATGTCTTGTTATGAAAGGCTTTGGGTGAAAGAAAGGTATTGACTTTGATGAGATTTTTTCGCAGGTTGTGAAGATGTCTTCTATTCAGGTTGTACTTGGCATGGCCGCAAGTATGAACTTTGAACTTGAGCAACTTGATGTGAAGACCGCATTTCTTCATAGTGATCTTGAAGAATAAATTTACATGGAGCTACCAGAGGGTTTTGTGGAAAAAGGGAAAGAAAAATTTGTGTGCAAATTGAAGAAAGATTGTATGGCCTCAAGCAAGCCCCACGACAATGGCACAAAAAATTTGACTCTTTCATGATGAATAATGGTTTTTCTAAAACTACTTCGGACCATTGTGTGTTTGTGAAATTTTTTTCGGATAGAAAATTTATTATTCTTTTGCTTTATATTGATGACATGTTAATTGTGGGTCAAGATTCTACCATGATTAACAGGTTAAAATTAGAGTTGAGCAAGTCTTTTACCATGAAAGATTTGGGACCGACAAAGCAAATACTTGGTATGAAAATTGTTCATGATCGCAAAGAGGGGCTAATTTGGTTGTCTCAAGAAAGTTACATTGAGAAAGTTCTTGAGAGGTTCAACATGGATAAAGCAAAGCCGGTTGATTGTCCACTTGTGGGTCACTTCAAGTTTAGTTCAAATCAATGTCCTACAAGTAAGAAAGACAAGGAAGAGATGTTAAAAATTCCTTATGCTTTAGCGGTTGGTTCTTTAATGTACGCCATGGTTTGTACAAGGCCGAATATTGCTCACTCCGTTGGTGTGGTGAGTCGTTTTCTCTCTAATCTGGGTAAAGAACATTGGGCAGCGGTAAAATGGATTTTAAGGTATCTTCAAGGGACTTCGAAGGTGTGTTTGTGATTTGGAAATGGTAAGCCGACGCTTGATGGGTTTACAGATTCTGACATGGCCGGTGATGTTGATTTTAGGAAATTTACTTCGGGGTATGTGATGACATTTGCAGGGGGAGCTGTGGCATGGCAATCTAAATTATAAAAGTGTATTGCTCTCTCAACTACCGAAGCTGAATTTATTGCCATTATAGAAGCTTGCAAAGAAGAGTTATGGTTGAAGAAATTTTTGTAAGAGTTGAGTTTAAAGCAAGAAAGGTATGTGTTTTGTTGTGATAGTTAAAGTGCTATTCATTTGAGTAAAAATTATACTTTTCATTCAAGATTGAAACACATTGATGTAAGATACCATTGGATTCGTGATGTGTTAGATTCGAAATTGTTACAACTCAAAAAAGTTCACACGGATGATAATATTTCGGATATGTTGACTAAAACTTTATCGAGGGACAAACATTTAAAGTGTCAAACTTTGGCTGGTATGGTTGATGTCTCCACCTAAGTCGATAGGGAGAGAATTGTTGGGTATACCTTTTTATTGGAATATGGGACCCAATTGATTTATTAAAAGAGTTTAGTTTGGCTTGGTGTTGGTTATAATATATTTATAATATATTAAGGCTAAGTTTGGCATGATTAAAAAAAGACAAAAAGTCAAAAAGTCACTATCCTATTTAAGTCATATCATCTTATTCAAGTCACATCACCTCTCTAACACATCACTTCAAACCCAACCCAAATTTCATAAAAAGTCAAAAAGTGCACTTATTTAGTCTTCCCAAACTAGGCCTAAATCTAACTTTTGAAGGGCCAATTCAGTTTGGTAACAGTTAGGGTTTTGATAAAAACCCAATAGTCAATAATATATATATATATATATATATAGTTTCGAAGGCATAGCTGCGTGAACAACATTGAAAATCAATTTGGTGGTTCTTGGTTTATGCTATAGCCATAGTAATTGCTTCATCCTATGCATTCGGCGGCTATTTTCCATTGGTGGTTGCTATAAAGCTTTGGTTCTTTTTTCAACAGGTTTGGGGAAGTTGTTTTGAGTCTTCTTCAACTTTGGTTTCGAAAACTTTTGTTTATCTATTTGGTGAGATCTTTCCTCTTGATTATTTGTGATTATTTAGAATTTACCTAAGGGTGGTTTTGTGAGACTATTCGTGTTTCGTTTGTAATCGTTTGAAAACTCTTTTGTTGATAGTGAAATCGAATTTCGATCCCATCGACGTACCTCATATTGAGGGAATCACGTAAAATTCTTGTGTTGCTTTTGATTTAATTTTTTCGCATTAGTTTTTATTTTCATTGATTGATTTACTTGTTGAGAATTATATATTTTCCCTAACATATATCATCCCAACTTAAGACAAATAACCTTCATTTGTCAACATCCAAAGAGATATATCAAGTAAGCAAGTAGCTGCATGGTAATAATACTAGACATAGCAAGAAAAACATACACAATCAAAATGCAAAGATGAAAGAAAAGTACCTAGTATTCATTCGTACCAAGCCAAGCAAAAAACGTTAGAAAAAATATGCATGATTTGAGATGTAAAGAAACTAATACAACACATATAAAAAAATATAATTAAAGACTTGGCTACTAATTATATGATATATGAACCATTTTAAGATAAGTGATAGCGTACATAATCACATAATAAATAAAGAAATGAGAGATAAAATAAGCCCAGCTTTATGTATAAAAAATGAATGTAAACATAAAAGAATAATGAAATAAAGAAAATATGATGTTAAGATATGAAAAATTCTAAACAAAAGGGATAGAAAGGAAGAGATGAGAACGATATACATCAAAACTACAAATAAAAAAATTATTCAATAGGAATAATAGAAGCAACTATTAACCAAAACAAAAACTAACATAGATGATTTAATTGAAGCAAGCCAGGTATAGATACCCTTCATGTAAGGCCTAGAACAATGTTGCATTAGTAAGCTCCTGAACACTAGTCAACCTTATCCCCCTTTTTACCAGCAGATAAGAATAAAATTATTATATTATATTATTAAAAAAATAAAATAAAATAAAATGGAATCAATAATTCAACAGCCCACAGATAAATAAATACCGCGTGGGTCCAAATTCCAATTGTTTTATCTTAACCCTCTTTGTCATCATCCACCAAATATAAGCATCTTATTTATATTTTATAGTAATAAAACAAACTGCTGTCAAGAAAACCCACCCAAGAACAAGCAGAAGAAAAAGCAAAAGGAGGGAGGGAGGGAATGGAAAGCCAGGAGCAGGAGAACAAGTCCAGAGTGGTGAAGATTGAGTCAAAGGAGTCATGGGAGTCCTATCTCTCCCAATCCACCAATCAAGGCACCCCTGTAAGTTTAATACACATGATAAAGTAATCATAAATTAGCTGGGTAATACCCAATACAACTATTAGCATCATTCTGATGATGATTTTGATTGTGTATTCTCATTTGGTTGTAGTGGGTTGTAATCGTAATTATGTTTAATTATGGTGTTGGGGGACTATGTCTGTATCTTGCTTGTAATTCGTTTTTATCATTGGGCGACTATTTCTATATCTTCCTTGTGACACTTGTTTCCATCGATCACTGCTTTGTCATTCATTTGTTGGATATGGAAGAAGTCAGTGACAGCCCAACAAATTGGTTCTGGTCTACGTGGCCTAGGCATAGGCTCGTTTGCGCTTGATTGGTCAACAGTTGCTGGTTTCGTAGGAAGTCCTTTAGCCACTCCTGGATTTGCCATCATGAACATACTGGTCAGTTACATAGTATTTGTGTACATAGTTATCCCCACTGCTTACTGGACCAACTTGTTTGGAGCAAAGCGATTTCCAATTGTTTCTGCGCATGTGTTCAACGATGAAGGAGGACTCTACAATGTCTCCTTAGTTTTGAACGATCCAACCTTCCATTTCAATCGACAAGGATATGATAGTTACAGCAAAGTTAATCTAAGTATTGTATTTGTATTCTCTTATGGTTTAAGGTTTGCAGCATTGGCTGCTACATTATCTCATGTTGCACTCTTCTATGGGAGGTATGTCTATATCTTTTCCCCTCATATGATCGAATAAATATATGTATGTGATTGTCCTTGATCGCAATCAATTTGTCATTTGATTGGCACTGGCAGGACAATTTGGGAACAAACGAAGGTATCGTTCCAAGATAAGATAGGGGATGTACATACAAGGCTGATGAAGAAAAACTACGATGTGGTGCCTCAATGGTGGTTTTACGCGATCCTGATGTTGGTTGTTGGATTATCCATGCTTGCTTGTGAAGGGTATGGCAGACAATTACAGCTCCCTTACTGGGGAGTCCTACTGGCAATGGCCTTGGCTTTTGTCTTCACTTTGCCTATCGGCGTCATTACAGCTACCACAAACCAGGTACATATCAGTTAATTACACTCATAGTCCTCAATCTTTTAATTTTTCTACTTATGTCCTCATTCATTGAATCACCAATTAGATGTAAAATTGCAAAGGTATTGCATTTGCACTCACAGCTAGTAGAAATCTATATATACAAACACCGTCATGTATAATCAGTTTTTTGTTAGATTTTATGCTAAAATTGTCTTAATTTGGGCAAGCCAGCAACCGGGACTATATGTGATCACTGAGTTAATTATCGGCTTCATGTATCCGGGGAAACCTCTTGCCAATCTTACCTTCGAAACTTACGGTTACATAAGCATGTCACAAGCAATCATGTTTCTCTCAGATTTCAAGCTTGGCCATTACATGAAAATCCCTCCAAAATCCATGTTTGTTGTTCAGGTAATCATATTTATTTGTGTCCTTGAATTGTTACAAATGCTTCGGTTATTAATCAACTGTAATGAGTACAATATTAATTAATGTTGCAGTTAGTAGGAACAATAGTTGCATCATCAGTCTACTTTGGCACGGCTTGGTGGCTACTGAGCACAGTGCAAAACATATGTGATCCATCAAAATTGCCACAAGGAAGCCCGTGGACGTGCCCTGAAGACGATGTTTTCTACAACGCGTCGGTGATATGGGGGGTGGTTGGTCCACTACGAATGTTTGGAAGCCTTGGGTTATATCAAAAGATAAACTATTTCTTTCTGATCGGAGCAATAGCACCACTGCCGGTTTGGTTACTGTCTCGGAAGTATCCGGAGAAAAAGTGGATAAAATTGATAAACATGCCTATTCTTATAGGAGGTGCAGGGGGTTTGCCACTTGTGAAGGCAGTGAACTATAGGTGTTGGTTGGCTGTGGGTATTGCCTTCAATTTTGTGGTATATAGGAGATACAAGGGGTGGTGGGTTAGGCACAACTATATTCTCTCTGCTGCCCTTGATGCTGGGGTTGCTTTCATGGCCATTCTATGCTATTTCACTTTGCAAATTAGGGATATCAATGGAATCAAATGGTGGGGCATGGCTTTAGATGATCATTGCCCTCTAGCTAAATGCCCTACTGCCCCTGGTATTGTGGTTCAAGGCTGTCCTGTTTTCCATTAAAAAAATTATTATAATAACAATTTTAAAAATTGGGTTCATTTTGCTTTCCTGATTATTTTTTATGTACTGTATCTGTGTGAATGCATAACATTAATTCTCTTTCTTTGTATAGAATATTGTAAATTTTAAATGCAGTCACCAAAAATTGTATACCTATACTTCTCTAAAAGAGAAAATGGTACTATATGAAACTTAAATGCATTATTCTCTTTTTAAAAATGGTCTGCTTCAATTCGAATTTATGAAAAAGAAATTTTGTGAGGACAGAGGTATTTGTTTTGATAGTGTCACTACAGGAAAAAGAGGTTTAGGCGGCGTTTTTTTAACGACGCATTTTTAAACGTCACTTTTTTTAACATTTAACGATGTTTTATAATACGTCGCATATTTGTTTAACAAAACAACACCGTTTAATAATAGGAGGCGTTTAAAACGCCTCCGAATGTGTTGTGCCTCACGCGCTTGGTCTCCTCTTTTCAAAGCCTAATTTTGAATCTCAGACTCACCTGAGACCCAAATTTTCGAGCTCTCTCTCTCTAAATCTCAGAGCGATTTCGAAGCTCCACCACTGTCTCTCTCTCTCTCTCTCTAAATCTCTCTCTCAACCCTCTCTAAACCCTTATCAGAGCCATTCAGAGATTCATCTCAGTGATTTCATCACAAAGATTCAGAGCGATTTCATCTCAGTGATTTCATCGCAGAGATTCAGAGATTCAGATCGGTCTCCACCATCTGCACCATCGTCTACATCATCATCTACACCATCGTCTCCTAAGGTGAGCTCCACCGTCTCTCTTTCTCTCTCTCTCTGAAGCTCTTCCTTCCCGTCTCTCTCTCCGTTTCAGTGATTGATGAGTTGTATATGCTCTAGTTAGCCCCAATCCAAGATTGATCCATATGAGGTTAGGGCCCGTGCTAAACAGGTTGTGCAAGATCAGCGCCGTCTGAAGGTTGGTCTTCCAATCTCAGTTTTATCGATTCTTCTCTCTCTCGATCTCTCAATCTCTCTCGATCTCTGTCTCTCTCGCACAATCTCGTTATATGCGTACACATTATCTGTACTTTTTTTTGGATAATTTTTTTTCTCCTAAAATCTCTCTATACAAGTATGTATATGAATTTATATATGTATTGATTGAATAATCACCCTTATTTTATTTTCAAGCTCTCAAATGATCCGATCGTTGATCGGTAGTGATGGAAAAAATCAACTCCTGTGAGAAAAGAAACTCTTTCTCATTGGAGGTAAGTTCTAATATATTTGTTTACATGTTTGTTCTGGTTTTGATCTTGTTTAGATTTGAATTGAACAACTCTATGTTAGCTTTTTGTTCATTGTTTGGGAAGTGATATCAATTTATTAGCATTTGTAGTTTGAATGCCATGTTTTGTTCATTGAAAATATAGTTAAGGTAATAAAACGACATTTAATTTTTATTATGTTGGACTGATTATGTTTTGCCGTTAACAGAGGACAAGCATTTTGCACTACTGCTGCTGTCCTGGGAGGAAAGAGCTGGGCATCTCAGATATCTGAGTTCTATCCAATCAGAGAGTAATATGAAAATAAGGGTTTTTAAGATCTATATTAATATTATACCATGTACTACCTTAAGAAATTTTCTATTTATCCTTTTTATATAATATATTATTACAATATCAAATATCAATCAGATTGATTTACTTAGGTTAAAGTTTGAGTCAGATATCAATAATCGTATCTTTTTCTTTTTCTTTACTGGTGGGTACTGATGCTTTTACCTCTCATGTTTATGCACTTGAAAATTGGCATTATACCTTTGTATGTCAAAAAGAACTGTGTATCATTCTCTCGCTTATTGCTGTACCATTTGCCCTGGGTCAGACGAAGGGTCATCTCCTTTGTCAAAAATGCGCGTTTAATTGTTTGGGTTCGGATGCGATTTTGAAGACAAGTTGGGGTGGAGCAACTTGTGAAAATCATTTGAATGTGCGGCCTTCATTGGCTACTGTACATCCGGTAAATCCCAGAAGCCTAATTTTCATTTTGATGGTCAATAGACTTTCCTTCTAACCAAGTTTTTAATTCTTCATTCACAGTATTAGATATTTAAAAACATCGATGAGTTTTAGTTATATTGTTTCTGGAATTATGTTTGGATGACTTTTAACTTTGACTTGTTTTGCTTCTATAGTAACCCATAGAGCTTTCTTGGTTAATCATAAATCTATACAGAAGGGCAACTGAAACTGAGTCCTTTTTGAGTTTATATACATGAATATTTATGCAGTGATGATCATTTGAGATTCTATGGTGCAGTCATATGAAGTGAACTCTAGAGGCGTGGAAATTTTCACAAAAAGTTGGCTTCCAAAAACCTGCTCCCCCAAAGCAATTATTTATTACTGTCATGGTTACGGAGATACTTGCACATTCTTGGCTGAAGGCATGTACTTCGTAACATATATTAGAAAGTAGATTCATATTGTGAGACAAATGGAATGTAACTGTTTTATGGAATTGTTTACAGGAATTGCTAGGAAGTTAGTATTTTCTGGATATGGAGTTTTTGCGATGGATTATCCAGGATTTGGTCTTTCAGAAGGTCTTCATGGATATATTCCAAGCTTTGATATCCTGGTTGATGATGTCATTGAGCAGTACTCAAAAACCAAAGGTATAGTACCTAATAATTTGTTTTTCTTTGCTACTATATTGGGATTTCTTTTGGGATGTGTTGTATATTGAAATTTCCCCATTTGCTGGACTTTTGACTTGGCTGGTTAGAGAGACAGATTAGCCACATGTTGCATGGTTCCCTATCTTCTGGGGCAGGCATGTCATGATGGTGCATCTTCCGTGAGTACATCTCACTTTTGGTGAGGTTGTTCCACTAACAGGTTTTCAAACTTGGCATAGGCTACCATTTGTCATGCCTCAGCATGAACCAGCCTCAATATAATTAGCAATCTCCTCTACCATCATCGGTATTTTATTCCTATTGCCTACCCTACCAACATTACCCCAGAAAGATTTTGACACACCCTGGGGATTCCGAGAATCCTTTTTGCACCCATACCCACATTCACTGAAGTTGGCTTCCAGGCTATCCTTGCTGCAGTCAATATTACCAGAGGCTTTATCCCCCATTGCATTCAGTATTTATAAAAAATAAGAAATATGAAATCCTCTTTTGCCCTCCGTGTTTATACCTTGGCATTGTAACAGAAAGTTGCAAGATTCTTCATTTTATTCCTGAATGGAAACTGGAATCCATACTTTATTTCTTCCAATCCAGACAATGGCATATTCCTGAAGCATATTCTCCTTATTATTCTTTGTTTATATTCCGGAAAGAAATAGAAAAAGTTCGTAAACCATAGGAAATTTGAGGCGATCAAGTATTTTTGTGACATTTTTTTCTAACTGGATAGTTTTGTTATTTTGGATGCAGAGAACCCTGAGTTTGGCAGTCTCCCAAGATTCCTGTTCGGACAGTCAATGGGTGGAGCTGTAGTTTTGAAGGTCCATCTGAAACAGCCACATGCGTGGAATGGAGCCATTCTCGTTGCACCTATGTGCAAAGTATTATTTTGAACTTGCTTCTCATAGACACTCCTCCGTTCTCTGATTTAGATTTTTTTTATTGACTAAAAAGCTTTTTGTGTAGATTGCAGATGACATGGTTCCATATATATATATATCATTATTTGTCGATGTATAATTTGCGCCTGTAGCCAATTTTAGTGTGAACTTATAGGATAATAATCCCTGTGTTTAGGTGTCCATGTATGTCTTAGTTCAAATTATTCAACTTAAATAATAATCGTATCTTTTTCTTTGGTGTCAAGAAGAACATGATTGGTTCTAGTGGATTAGATGATGATATACAGAACAATCATAAGGGGCTCCCATAAACTCCTAATTTTCAATTTCACTTAGTTATTTCTACAATATTTTAAGAGTTAGGAATTTGAAGGCATCTAAAAGCCCCAATGTCTTTATTTTGATTTTTGGTCATTTTGGTTGATCTTTTTAGTATTAGTATTGACAATTTAACAAATTCATTGAGTTTTCATTTATTGTATTAGCACTATACCAATTATTCATTCAAAGTTTTGCTATCTTCTGAACTATGTTATTTAGTGACCTAAATGTCCCTAGTGTTTCTGTTCCATTAATGGAATGAAATTATTACTGGTGAGATCTTCCAGTTTTCAGGCCATGGTCCTCAAGAACTCCACCCATTTGGACAGGACATTAAGAGGTCTTTGTTTGTCAAGAAGATTGAAGGAAGCAATTGGGTTACTCTAGCGTGCAGGATTACAGGTGTTCCTTGAAACCTATTCTCTTCTTTTACAAGAAAGTATATTTAGGAAACAATATAGATGGGGAAGGAGAATCCATGCACAAATGGTGGTAGTTGGCTTTGTTCCCAATGAATATTTGGTAACCAAATTGTTGATATTGTATGCAAAGGCAGGGGATTTAGTAACTGCTAGCAGTCTGTTCAATGAGTTGTCGAGGACTAGCTTAATTTCATGGAATGCAATAATTGCTGGTCATGTGCAAAATGGTCTTGTAGAAATGGGATTGAGTCTTTATTATAAGATGAGACAGAGTGGTTTGACACCAGATCAGTACACCTTTGCATCAGTCTTTAGAGCGTGTGCCACTTTAGCAACATTGCAGCAGGGCAAGCAAGCAAAATACTTCGTTGTTTGTCTTTGCATTATCAGCTGCTTATGTGTCTTGGTCTCTTAGCTTGCCAAAGTCCTACATTATAAGCAATATATGGTTTAATTTCTCAACAACATAGCTGTAATTATATTGAGCTGTATATGGTATTTTGCTCACTTAAGTGCATTTCTTGCAGTTCATCGGGAATTATCAAGAAACCATTGGCATCAAGACTGGGTGGGGTGCTGGTAAGGGCAAACTTATTTTTTTCTTTCTCATGTTCTCTATCAAATGAAATTAGATTAGTGAAGTTTAAATGACCAAAAGATGAATTTATTATTTATGTAAATTTAGAATATCGTACTGGTTTTCCATGACATCATCAAATTTTGGATTTTCTATACCTTTAAAGCGCTCAAGTTTTATTAGTGGATGGTACTCAATAGTTCGAATTTTGATACAATTTAAAAGCTTTGCTTTTGACTGCCAGATTTTTATTTGATTTCTGTATCAACGCACTATTGTGATGAAACTCCTCTACTATGATGATGTCATGGTATGCGTTTCAATTAATTAGATTTTTGTGCACTTCATCATTCAGATCATTGGATATCCTTGATTAAAGGTATAGAAAATCCAAAATTTGATACTGTTCCCATGAAAAGGCTGAGGAAATAATTAATGCAACTCATAAGCACTAGTATCTGCATATGATTTCCATAAATTAGCATCTTTTGTGGTTTGTTCTATTAGTTGTCCAATGATATTATCTAATTATAAATTATCTCTATGCTATTAGAATTGTGTTCTTTTTAAACTACAGTTTTGTTGGAATGAGAAATTCTGGTAAAGATAGGGACATTTGAATCTTACAGATGTTGGGTGTTTTGGCTTGTCATTATCCCAATGATGCATCTAAAAATCCTTCTCCTCTCTCTGTATTATTTGACCACAGAAAAATATAGTCACTCACACATTGATCTTGCAGCCTGTGGATTACGAGCCTCCATTCTTTAGAAGCTGTTCAGAACAAGAAGCTCATAATCCATGGATAAAAAATCCTCTGGAAATGGAGGTTGGGAATGTCAACAGCAAGCATTTAGTATTAGCTCTCAAGGTAAGGATAGAATATTGTAGGAACACTTGGTCCCTTATTCGAAAATTTTAAGTTAATGTTTGCAACTGGGAATTTGTGCAGGTTAAGAGTGTACTCGATCCTTGTGAGGATGAAAATGATGACATTCAAGATGATGATGTGAGCTTGGGGGCTGATTTTTTATGATGATGACATGTTAGTGACGTGGTGTAGATTTCAGGTTTATGTTCCTAACTACTATAAAGTTATATAGTGAATCTTTCCATTGGTGGTTTTCTTGCTTGAAGTCTATTTTTACTTTGAGTCTTGCTTGGCAACTGGCTCTGTTTTTTTCTTTTTTGAAGATGGGAATCTGCTCTAAGTTTGAGCTGTAAAAACCGTGTCACCACATAGCATTTATTAGGTAATTTTGGACTTACAAACTGGTAAGCTAATGAAATACTTGGTTTGATGCATAGTTGGATTATTCTCCTTATAATAAATTCAGCTGAGAAGATGTGGAAGGGTCTAGGAGGTTTAAGACAGCCAGTATGTCTAGGCATGTGTGTTACATCCTCAAAAAGTGATATTAGAAAATGATGGGAAATAAAATGAATATTAGTTTGGTTCTTCAAAATCATGAAGAGATTGCTCAAACACAGTTTGAAGTTCTTTCCCTTGTCTCTTTAAAATTACATGCAGGTGTATGTGGTCTATATGGGAAGTAGAGATGGTCATGACCCAAATGATACTTTGGGTAAATTACATGCAGGTTTATGTGGTCTATTGTAGGCACTTATTAAACAAGCAAACAAACTGTCTATCCCACAAATTTCTTTTTTGGAAAAACTATTCAGACTTGTTAAACTAATTTATGTTCCATGTTGAGCTTCTCACTGGAAGGTTGGCAAAGTCAGCATTCTTCATTTAGGATTTATGAACTGAACAAGCCATGTTGTATGGCAAACTTTCTATAATGTTTTGCCGAAGTAAGATTTTGGTGACCACGTAAACTCAATTTTTGTGGTCAGTCATTTGATCAATATAGCAAAACCACTATATGGAGTTTTTAGTCTCTTGTTATTTTGGAAAAGCAAATCAAAGGAATAAGATGGTGATTTTGGGGTAAATCATTTAGAAACTTGCTATGAAATTTGGATGGACAAATGTACGACAGTCAATAGGCATGGAAGCATATTTTGTTCAATTGGTAACCAATCTCTCATTTCTCCTCACATCGACATTGACTTTTGCTGCTTCATATTGTCTTGGATGTCATTATATAGATATAATTTTCCTTTTTAAATTGGTTAACTGTGGTGGCTGTGGTTCTGGAAGTTGCAGTGCTGACCATCTCTTGCTTGTAATTTTTAATTATAGGAGGCCTGAATGTGGAAGGGGAGGCAGACAACTGGGATTTTGGTGTAGGTATGTACTATGCAACAGGGAACTTTAATATTTTAGTGCGTATGATTGGCCATCATGTGTTGGGTTTGATCCCAGTAAAATTTTGAATAAGTTATTGTGTTAGTAATTTAAGACCCATGAGAGGTTCATCACATGTTTGACTTGTGATCACATCCACACCGCCCCCACTTTGATGCAAGAGAAAATAACAATTATTTTGTTTACTTGCTAAATAAGGTGTTACAATCTTGCTATTGTTGCATGAATATCTTTTTATAAATCCTCAAGTTTATGGAAATGTTGCTTTCTATCTTACTCCCTCCATCCCAAATTGTTTGTCTATTTTTGGCATTTGTGCCCTTTAATTGGGTCAATAACTAATATTTTTTAAAAAAAAATTAAATTTGTTCTCCCACAAATTAAATATCTCAATTAGTTCTTGTAGGTAAAGTCTACAAATTGATTTTTGAATAGCGTTTTTATTTTATTTTATTTTTTCTCAATAGCATTTTTATTTTATTTTTTCTAACATCTGAAACATGCCTTTTAAGTAGTTTAAGAAGCACAACCATGGAAAATCTCAATTTGATAAGGTTATACACATTCTAAAAGAAAAAAATATGTTAAAAGACCCTTCAGAAGTCTTGCCTAATTTGATGAGTGGGAGTTAGATCAAATGACCTCTAAATTTGTTTATGCTATGAGAGTATTATTTATTTAATTTTACATGATTCTCATGTGTCTGTATTGTCTTTAGGTATGCCCTTTTCTTTATATGTATTTAGTTCTTCTTGGTATGTGATAAAATCTTCTTGTTGGTGCTTCTTCAAGTTTTAAGTACTCTTTATAAGTATTGGGTACAAATTCTTCAATTTGCGTTTATTTTGGTGAATCTAATTGCAGTTTATGTTCTGATGCAGGCATGTAGACCAGTGAAGACTACAACTTTAATGCTAAGACATGATTTTTGAATATATGTTAGTTTGTGATTAATGCGAAGACATAATTTTTGGATATATGTTAGTTTGTGGTTTAATGTTAAAACATGATTTTTGAATTTTGAATATATTAATTTTGTGGGTAATGGTGATTGGATATTAATTGAATGAGAAAGTGAATTAGTGCTTCATTATAGCTATTTGAATGTGAGTTATTATTTTATATTAGTGCTATTAAGGTATTTTTTTAGTTCTATCAAATAAAATTAGCACAATTTAAAAAAAAAAGAAAAAGATATAACGGCGTTTTTACAAACGCCTCTTAAACCCTACTTATTAATTGTCATATTTTAAAAAAAGATATGACGGCGTTTTTCAAAAACGTCGCTAAAGAGCATTAGTGACGTCAGCGTGTGTTTAGTAGGACATTTGGCAGCGTTTTTAAAAGCGCCGCCTATACTAATATCACGACGTTTTTAAAACGCCATAAAGCTATAGCGACGGCTGCATCTTCGACGTTTGGTACTAAGCGTCGCAAAAGGAATTGGCGGCGTTTTTGACACTTATAGCGGCGTTTTTTAAACGCCAGTGTGTCACGACTTCATCTATCAGGAAAAAAAAAAAGAAAGAAAAAAGAAAAAAGAAAAAAAAAAGATGAGTAAAGCGATTTGTGATGGGTATGTAAGCTGCATAATAATTTAAACAAACAATCAAACCGAAAGATCAAGCCACTGTGTTTTTTTATTCGAATGTCATGAAAGTATAAGGATTTCTTTGAAACGAAAGTTAGAATAAACAAGAAAGACGGAGTAAACAAAGTAAAAAACTGATGATTTCAAGATGAACCACCAAAGTTCATAAAGGTTAAGAGTTGATAAACTACTCCTAAATTGATGAACTACTCCTGAGATAAAAGCTAATCTAAAAGCTAAGTGTTGTGTTGATGTCTTATTCTTTGCAAACTTCCGGCTTTTATACTTCCTCCTCTTTCTTTGCCCCATGATCACATGACTCCTTCAAACCTGCACCTACAACTTTCTAACTGCAATTGTAACGGCCTCCTCACTTCCAAGCTTTCAAACTCTACTAAGCCTGCCACTCTGCCTGTCGAATTAACTCTCTTCCATGCTGCTACATGCCCCTCATCACTCTAAGCCACATATCAATAGAGAACCTTGTAAGCATCATCTCCTACAAACCAACCTACTAAGCCACAAACTAGTTGATAATTGCCCCATGATTGCCTTCATCCATCTAAGCATGTTCCTTTATGCCACGTAGCCACTTGAATGCCAAAAGACTTTGCCTTGACGTCACTGCCATGTGACACCATCTGATTGATCCACCCGTCAACAGAAGTTATACAGAAATAGATACAAACAATGCCCCCATTGTTTAAGTTAAATAAATAACAATGATTTTAACTTAAATAAATTCATTCTCTAGGCCCAAATAACATACTTAATTCAAACAAATCCAAACACTGGGCCCAACATAAGCTATAAAAGCTCAAACTGTTCAACTTCATCTCATTTCAGCTTCATCCTACTTCCTTCGAAACTCTTATACCAAAACACCAAGCAACTCAAACTTTGAACCATGGCTCCCAAGAAGTTGAACTCTCAAAAAGAAAATGAAACTAGTGATGAACACCTTCGATTCCCCAAAAACAGTTAAGGACCTCACCAGTTCTTTGAAGTTGGACCTAACCTTGATCCTAAGTACCACCACCGTAGCCAAAGCAACACTATGACCTACATATACAGCCTATTTTCCATACGAACTAGCTCCATATTACCACTTGCCAATGGTGAAACCCTACTTCTCAATCAACCAAAACTCAATAGGGTGAATTGGGACAACAACAAAAACCCTTTCCAATCATGGGGGCAACCAGACTCTTCCTGGCAAAGCTGGGTTAAACAAATTGAAGCTCATGACTTAAATATACAGAAACATCTAGGCATTAGTGAGGTAATTCGACTGTCAACCCTTAAATTTGATATGAACAAGTGGTTAATTGCTGTTGCTGTTTGTTTTTTGTCACAATCTTGCAACTCAATGCTTCTAGGATTTGGCATATCCCCTACCATTCTAGATGTAGCCTACTTAATGGGACTTCCCATCCTAGGGTTATAAATTAGTGCCTTACTAGAACCTTCACTAGCAACTTTCACTCTCAATATTGACATGAGTTATGCCGACTTTATTAAAAAATACAAAGGCAAGAGAAACACTTTGTCGATGATCAAGAAAGAGCTGCCTTTTACCTTGTTTGGCTTTGCCAATTCCTTTTTTGTGTTCCTGACTTCAAAATTACCAAAGAATACCTCCCATTGACTTTATGCCTTCAAGATGGCCAATCCATGACTTTTGCTCCCTACTTACTTGCCAACCCCTACAAAGGCATGTTTTCCTTTGTTGATAAAAAGATATCATCCAGTTGTGGTGGACCCTTCTGGCTTTTTCAAGCTTAGTTGTATACCTACTTCTCTAAAGTACAACCCCCAAAGCCAAATATCTTGATCCCAAACCACCACTTTTATGTAGAGTACTTTCTAGCCATTGTTAATAAACCTAACTTTGGCTTTTCTCACTACTTACCACATTGTTCAATTTTCCATTTGGTAGAAAACCTCTTCTCTTCAAGCCATTTCATGGCTGTTGATTTTCTTCCTCCAAACTAGCACATCTCTCCATGAACCCTTCCAATTTAGCGGATGACCAAATAAGATCTCAAGTTGAGACATAGAAGAATGTTTTCACTTGCAGACACATTCTAGTTGGATGTTCTGTCTCCTCTACCGGAATGTCTAGCTATAGCTTTGAAAATTATTGCCCCAACTAGTGGGCATGACAATTTGGGCTTACTCAGTGTATACCTTACCCCTACTTTCATTCTACAATCCATGAAGAAATAGGAAAGAGAATTAGCATCATAGACTCCTTCCAAGCACAATTGATCAAAACAGAGAGACTCTTCAAGACTTTAGCACTTACTTCTTCAAACATGCTTTTGATCTCACCAAGGGCTTTGAACATCGGTGGACCCCCATGGCTGTAGTGATCTTCCATGGACCTCTTGAGGTTTGTCTCAAAGAAGTCTCTATTAATAATTAAGGCTTTGAGCCATCAATCTCAAGCCTCAAGACCACAGGTAAACCCATTTCAACTTTTAAACAATCAATGTATTTCCATTTTTTAAATCAACTGTCTCTTATTCTTAGTTTCTTTGACTCATGCAGTTACATTTGTTCCCATAGTGCCTCCTCCCGTTACTGACGTTCCAATCAGAGATAAAAACAAAGGCAAAGCACCAATGGATCCAAATGTCAACCCAAATGCCTCTCCATCTGTGCCTAAGCTTATAGGAGACTCCATTACAGCTCTCCAGGCAAAAGAACAAGGGAGGACAAGGGCAACTCAACCACCTTCAAAAGAAATGAGGTCAAAGAAAAGGCAAGAACCTCTTGCTACAACTTTGCCTCAAGAAAACTTCAATCCCACATTTAGTGAGTGGGACATTCCATTTAGCCAAGTGCTTGGAAAAAACCCTTCAATACTAGGTATAATTTCTCATTTTTATGCTTACACCCCCACTCCTCTAATAAAGAGTCAAGTACTCCAATTCCAAACCAACCTGCTCCACACATCAATTTTGATCCACCCTATCAATGTGAGAACCGGAATATACAAATCAAGTAAATCATTAAATAATAATAATATTACAATCTCAAAATATTTTGGTGGTGAATCCTAAAGTGCAAATTAAATATTTTGAAGGTCTTTTAATTAATTTTAAACCTAAAATAAATTTATGGTGAAAATCTCTAATTTAGAGGTAAGATTTATTACTTTAAAAAAAAATAAGGGGCAAGTTAGTATGTATATTTTGATTTAATAATAGTTGTATTTTATTTAAATTAATGATGGGAGGAAATACAATAAAATAAAACATAGGATAGTAATTTAGAAATTTTAAGTTTAGATATATATATATATATAAAGCAATCCTAGTTTTCCTAACAAAACCCTAACCCTTATTATAATTGTTTTGCACAACACTTTCAACATGTAACAGCAGCCACGAGGGAGGGAGAGAGAGAGAGAGAGAGAGAGAGAGAGAGAGAGAAATTTCCAGCAACTTTGTGGCTGAACAACTCTAAGGTAACAATCAATTTATTCTTCTTCTATTATAGTTTGTTGTTCACATAGTTATGGTGCTTGTGGGTGTTGTGAGTTGTTGGAAGAAAAGGAATGGTTTGGCTGATTGGGTTAGTGTTTTGTGTATATTATTATCTTGCCAAATTTTAAAGCGAATTACGAAGCTAAAGTCATTGGATAAGAATTCTGTACAGAATTACAAACTTTAAAAATCAAGAAAACATATCAAAAAAATGAATTTTGAACTAAAATATTTACAGTAGATTAATTACATATTAAATTTCATATCTGAATTTTTTCATAATTTTTGGGAGTCAAAATCCATATAAATGGATGCATTTAAATCTGTCCAGAAAACTGATTGTGAACAGTAAATTCGGAAGTATTGTTCTCTTTGGGTATAAATCCGAAAATTATCAAATCAGCGTCATTAGAACCGGTTACTAGTCTAGTTTCTTACATTTTTTGCCTTGCGTTGATTGCTCTTGTATACTAAGAGAACCATTAATTTAATTAAAGTGCTGCAAAAAACAACATGTTTGGGTATAATTAATTATAAATAATTATTTTGATAAGCAAATCAAGTAAAACCAATTCGGTTTGAACCTTAGGATATATTAGTTGATATCTGGAGGGTTTTGGAATTTTTCGAATGATGTAGAGTGGGTTTTTAATTTTCAGAGTTAGTGAACAGTTCAGGAAAACCTATAAAAAATTCTATTTTATCTTAAAGTCACATTTAATTAAGTTTCGACCAGAACCCATGTCTTGGGTAATTTTAGATCTTGAAGAACATGAACTTAGATAATATTTAAGAGTAACGGTGAGTTGGATTGAGCCATGTTAGTGCGCTTTAAGTTTGAGGTTGCTTAGTTTATATTCTTTAGTGCTTTTAAATTAATAGTGACGTATAGTTTTTATACTTGGTTTAGGGCACTAGTTGGACTTTTATA